ATAGACTCCGTCACGTGTTAACTCTAAGTCATCTGGTACACACTCTGTCACGTGTTAACTCTAAGTCATCTGGTACACACTCCGTCACTTTGTCAGTAATGATACCATCACACACCTTTCTTCTTATTCATCCCAAAACACTGATTTATTAGTAGTTTCGGTCTGATTCATACTGAAAGAAACCTGAGGGTTGATAAAGCTGGAAGAAGCATATTTCAGAAATGCTTTGCGATGTTACAAGTCAAGCCTTATCTCTATAATCAGAATCTACCAGAGTTTGGCAGCTAGTCAGGTTATGTCCACGTTCCTGAAATATTTCTTGTCTTCTAAACAAATTACCATTTGGAATGACCAAAGCCAGACTTATTGGGTCTATTTTAAATCTACTTTATGTCACACATAACAATGTTCTGAGTGTGATTGGTAATGTCCATGTGAGCAATGACGTCGTGTCAGGAACTTTGTAATTAACGATTTCTTTATAATCCCAGTAATACCTAATATTAGGAGAGTGTCGCTATGCATTACCTTTGTGATATATAAGAGTTGAGCTGACTCGGATTCAGAAAACCGACAATGTCTGAACGAAATGCTTTGACTACACCTACTAAAAGGAAGCAGTGATCCATAGTATCTCGTCTCTTAATCTGTATTTGTGCAGGGATTTACTGATAGTGTAGAGTTTTGTTAATAACAGTGTTTCTGTACTTTAGATAAAAACCTACGGTTGATGGAAAGTAATGAAATCCATTTCATCTTTGCATTGATATATTTATACTTATTAACGTGTATTTATTCCTCATTTGACAACTGGTTGACTTATTTTCTATTAATTAAGGATTAACCTGAATATATTTTTCATGTTATGGAGATACGCCAACCAATTGTCGAATGGGTTGTCAAATGCTTGTTACAAGCAAGATTAAATTGTGATAAAATATAACATACATTGCGAAACTCGATTTGATAGTATCCTGATGACAGAGCAACTAACAAGACGAATCAGGGTTAACGTACACATGGAATTGTTCAGTCAGCATTCTCCACGCCGTAGCACAGTTCCAACACTCCAAAAACGTTAACACATGAATTCGAACAACATCTTAATTAGGTCTACGCTACGTATTCATAAAAGAAACCAAATTGAATAGTTCCTTTTATGGGACGGGGGATTATACGTAGTTTATATTCTCCCGCAGGGGCAAGCACATTATTATTTATCGTTTTGGACTTGTTTTGTTTATAACAATAACTATGTTTGTCTGAACACCTGATCCCACCAGACATTTACTTCAGTAAACAGGAACAGGTCGATCAGCATGTTTCCGTGAAATCTGGTCGCATTATTGACACAGTGTAATAGTCATAAAGAATATCAGAGGGAAACACGCTATATGAATATGATGATATCTTATAATTGTGCTATACTTTTGAGCCAAATAAATTTCTGTCAAACAAAGGTTCATAGATTAAGTATATTTCGTCTGTTGACATCTGGCACAAGAAAATAATGTTAAAAATGAAAACAATAAAATACATTGCGTCTGGTTTTATGGTATGATTTTGACATGTAAAAATCCAAATTGTTCTGTGAATTTTTAATATCAATTCAAACTGTCGATGTTGGTTCGTTGAGCATAATAAGTAATAAAATATGTTATTGCATTTTTGTAGATATTGGCAAAATATCTCGGTACATATTGGAAGCGTGCACACGCCGTTCGCCATCGATATTCTCTTGCATAGCGTTAGTGGAAACGTGGCAGTGGATGACATCGCAATGCTGCAGTGTGGGGATACTGAAGGTATTTAATGAGAATGCGTGGGATGTAACGTAACACAGAATAAACCCATTAACGTCTAAAGCACTCTGGGAGTTGAACATTCTCCTATCCTTTGATAATCTTTCGTTGTCCAGTCTCACAGCCGTTCCCCCGAAAGTAACAATTCTATATGTTTCCATTTCTTGAATTCCTGTATCAAGACCTTGATATAAAAAAAAGAAGTAGCAACCAGCAAATATTGAGTTCATTCAAATAGTAGTGGCATGTTCTCGAGGGATATCAGTGTATTATATCTCATGGACCCTGTAGAGTAAGCATAACCCCCTCTACAAGTTAAACGTGACGCAAACAAATATTAACAATTGTTCCACCTCGACAGCCTTAAAACATATTGACAACAAGATATAAGACGATTATACCACAGGCTTTTCCCAAGAAAAATATCAAAACAATTGTACGAATCACAAGGTATTACACACTGGTATTGACATTTCACCTGCACTATTTTAATTTCTGATACAATAGCAATATGATGAAATGATTTATTATTGAAATTGGTTCAAAATATAATCAAACAAACAGATATGTTTTGTATTTAAAAAAAAAAGATATATTAGTGTACAAAATTGTACATCGATACATCGATTTTCACATGAAACTGGCCAAGTAGAGAGCCGAAAAGTAAATAAAAACAAGCGAATTAATTGACGTGCCATTACCAATTGCCTTGGGCTATGATGTTTGAAGAGTTTCAACTCCAACATCATGCTGGTGGTGGATGACAGAAATACATGTACAATATATACATAGAATTTTTCATTTTGTAATGAAATTGTACAGGCAAAAAAAAGAAATATGTTTACTCCCAACAAATCTTACAAAACCTTGAATAATTAACGTACTGTTCAACAGCGACACTATCAAAAGGATACCACAGTAACATGAGATGTCTCTCGGGAAAGATCATTCGCTATCGCAGTCCAAACGGGTTAGTGTAAAAAGGAGTGTTATTTTATAAGACACTGTGTATTCCCAGTCTCTACACGGAACTTAATGGTATCATGTAATTGACTGGATGTATAAACACAACAAGGGAATACGTGAGTTTATTGATACCGAAAGAAGTAACACAACCCAATTAAAGACGTGACACTATATCATGATATTGGTTTAAAGACGTAGGTGTTCAACCAGTACTCCTGAGTCAAACCGTCTGGAGCGGAGATCAGTATACTAAACTTGAATGTTTTCTCGAACTTTTATTAGATTTCTTTAGATACGTTGATTTCTCAGTGTGTTATTTCCTATTACAAGGGTTTTACGCCCACCGATGGGGACAATTTATTGATGACAATAGAATTCCAAGCGTGCGTAGATCTTAATATGATTAATGATGTTTAACAGATGATTTCCCACACCTATAAATCAGGAAATTAAAAGCATCTCAAGCATGGTTCATTACTGAAGTTAATCACTCGTTGAGGGAGTGGTGTTGTTGTAAGATACCCCCAGGGATACTGTTAAGCGCTGTATAATTCCGCCTTAACGTCTCAATCGATGTAAAATCATGGCGACGTCTGCTGCAATATCTCCAAGCACTCCGAGTAGGAGTGTCGAAGAAGACACAGCGACAAAAACATGTTATCTTGTACTGATTGTCACCAATAATGTTGTCTACTTGCCAGCTCATAATAAACAACAACTGAAACATGTCATTTTACCAACAATCCGATTAACTGTTGCTAAAAAAACAAAGATACAGGCAAATTCTGTATCTCACAACTTTACATTGACTAAGGCTATTGCTCATATGTTAGTTATCCTATTACAATCGTACTTAAGTTTTTAGACTATAATGTATACCTCAATAATGTAGCCGACTGGCCCGAATTATAGAATACACATTTCTGATTGGTTTAATGATGGTAGTATTCGGCTGCATGTGCACTATTGAGTTGTTGTCAAATAATCGATTTTACAATTATAGTGTTTCTTACAAATGAAATGATGAAAAATGAAATGTTATTTTTCTGATTATATTGTATGTACTGCACCTATAGCGAAGAACACCAAGAACATTTTCAATATGTATGACAAATTCCAAAAACAAATCTGTATTACTTCACACTGAATAAGGGTCAAGCTATTAAACTTTGAAAAATGTAGATGCGTAGAGGGCATAAACGAAACATGTGTTTGTACTTCTATACCATGTATACATACTATTATATCTGCAACTGATTGTCGTATACATGTGTTTTTGTGTTGTTTAGAGAAGGAGGTTGCCCCTGTGGGGTGCGGGACAGGAGACTTCCAGTGCAGCACCTGCCATTGGGTACCTCACTCCAAGCTGTGTGACCTCATCCCTGACTGCCTGTTCGGCGAGGACGAATACCTTCCTTTATGCTGTAGGCAGTCCCCAGATTTACATATTTTATCCGTGCTCATGGAAAACAATCAAATTCTCTAACTGCACTCCTTTTCTAAATCCAATATTTCACAAGGCAATATAGAATTCCTTTACAATTCTATAGCAAAGATAGTTTATACATGATGCGTTTGCATACCCGTAGAGAAAATAAGTGATATAACTTTATTAGATATTAAGGGAATAAAGAAACAAATGCAGTTGCTGTTAATGCTTGTCCCGCTGACACCCTATGCGTTCTTGACTCAAAGAGCTAATAGCATCGTGTTGACAGTTGTTGTTTTTATGCCAAAAATATGTATTTTTATTAATGCTAGATGAAAATCAGTGGAATGGAAGCTGTTCGTTTGAGGATGGCTGGTGTGGATGGGAAAATATTTTGAACCCTTTCCGGAGCGTGACACGATGCGTGTTCGACAGGGCTAACTTCACAGACATTGACAAGGAGAAAATCGGCAATAACCATGGTAATGCAAACTGCTACATTGTACGTTAAATAATTAAGTCATATTTGTAAAAACACAGTTCAATGATAGTGATCTGGTGTCAAATGTAGATCAAATTTGTTTGTATCTGTTCCATTACAAGCATAACTCAATGTATCCATTTCATAGTGTCTGGTTTATTTTTAACTCCAGCTTGGATTTGTGATCAATTTTTTTTTTTTTT